ATAGGAAATAACGATGAAAGTAAGAATTAAAAGGGAGAAGAGATTAGACATATTTAACTTTGAGACCCTAAAATTTTGGGTAAAATACAAAATGCTTCACTTACAAGTGAAAATTACAAAGAAAGCCAATCAACTTTTATTTTTTATTTTTTTTAGAATAGCTCTTCAGTCAAACCGAATTTTGATTATTTTTTTTTGTTTTTTAGTGAGTAGGACCGTGCCTTGAAGCTCAGGAAAAAAATAAAGAAATAAAAATGAATCTATATAATGAGACCATTTACTTTTGGTATAGGGAGGTCATAATTACCTTACAACCATCCGATGTGAAATCTAATAGCTCGGGTGTGTCAGAAAGTTCGAGAAAATTCTTTTGAACTTTAAGCTTGGTCAATAAAATAAATGTAACTACTTAATTTTACATCCAATGGTCAATATTAATTGTGACCACTTTATACCAAAGATAAATGATCTCATTATATACTTTCCTAAAGTAAAAAGAAATCAAAATTCAAGTTGACCAAGGAACAATTTTGAAAAAAATAAAAAACCGTGGGTTGGCCGACTTTTTTTGTAATTTCTACATATAAGTGGAGCATTTTGTATTTTACTTAAAATTTTAAGTCCTGAACATAAATCACTCTTAAATTTTATTAAAAAAAAAATGTAAAACCCCCAGCATTGTATTTAATTTTGGAGTCTTCTAAAGAGGAGAGAGAATGTTTGACAGGGCATAATATGAAGGTTCCAATCTTCATCGCACATCGAAAAAGAGTCCCCCTCCCTCTCTCTAAACCCATCTCTCTACCCAAAACATACATAAGAAGGGTAGCTAGTCTCTCAAAACCTGTAACAACTCGACTCAACCTCCTGCTTCCCAGTATTTCTCTGCCTTTTGGCTTCGGGTTGTTAAGGTACATCTTCTCTCTCTCTTAGTTGTTCAAGAGTAGCGAATTTTGGAGGTTCTCTCTCTCTCTCTCTCTCTCTCCTGCTTTTGGGTTTTACAGGCAGTCTTATCTCCATGTGCATGGTTTTAAGTTTTGAAAGATCTTTCTTTCTTCTGTTTTTAAGTTTAAGAAGATCTCGCCCTTCTGCTTTACATTTACCTGAATGGGCACTAGGCTTTCTTTTAGATGGCTTATTTCCTCATGTTCGAATACGGGGTGCTTTTTTTTTACTTTGACTTTTTTTTTTTTCCTTTCTCAGTATTTGGAGTTAGGGCTGGCCCAGGGCCTGTTGCCAACTCCAGCCCTAACATAGAGCCGGCCCAGGCCACATTTTGTTAAATTATACATAAAACTTGAATAATATTGATCCAATATTTAATATAGTTATTTCTATCTAAGTATTGTGACAAATTGACGAAAATTATCATTTATTTATGTCCATTTGCTTTGAAAACTATAGTAAATTATGTGTTTTTTGCTAATTTGAAGCAAGTTGGATATTTATTTTCTTGAGTGTTTTATTATTTAAATTTTCTATCTCTGCATTATTGTTGTCAAATATAATAGAATGTGATTTATTCCATGAGGATTTAATTACATATTCAATCAACCAGCTTAGACTCCAAAGGTACCCACGTCAGAAAAGATCTCTATTGTGTATAGAGAGAGAAAGGAGATAGGTGACATTGTACGAGCTATCAAGAGTATGTGATCTCTATTGTGTACAGAGAAGAGACAGAGAGAGTAGTTAGAAAATAATAGGCGTAGTTACATAGAGATGAGTTAGCCATAAAAAGGGACTGCAATCGAGTAAATAGCTCAACGAACAAATAGATTGTATCGCGTTGGAAAATAGAAATCTGGGAAATAGAAAAACAAAGTTACAAATTATTTGTTTGCAGATAGATCGGATCAAGTTGGAAAATAAGTTATACGTTATTTGTTCGTTTGTCAGAGAGGTCTGAAATATCTGAGTAAATAGCTCTGCCGACATGGAAAATAAGTTATTTGTTCGTTTGTCATAAAGGTGTTTTAGAAATGTATACAAACTAGTAAATAGATCTAGATCGGATCGAGTTGGAAAATGGAAAGATTTGTGCAAATTATGTATTACTTTGTAAAAAATCATCACAAACGATATCGTTATGTATGAATATATCAGATACCTTTAACAAATTAACGAAAGTATGAATATGTCAGTGACTCAATTAACGAAGAATAACGACACTGCTACTATCTCTAATATGCGTAAGGTTAGATACGTCCCAGAATTTGTTCCGGTTATCGGTTTTTTTATCCAATCCGTATATATCAGGGCGATTAAAGAGTTTTGTTTATCCGTCCATATATATTAGGGCGAATAAAGAAAACAACAATTGTGCCCGCCTTTGTATAATATGTAGGTATAAAGCATCCATTTTAAACATGGATGCAAATAGGTGGTCCATCTAGAAACAATTGTAACTAACCGTCCAAATATTTTTTTAATATAATTATTATTATTTTTAAAAAAAATTATTTATTTATTCTTATTCATGATCTCCATGTTAAAGATGATATATTTTCTAAATATTGGGATCAAATTATATTTAAAATATACATTTATTGCCAAGCCTATTTCTACATGTGAATAAAAGAGTAAATATGGGAAATAAAGGTATGGTTTCTAGAAGGTTGCAACCTTAAACAATCCAATTAAGGTGCACCTCCAAATTTTATCATAACATGTAAAATTTTTATAAACATATGAAAATCTTGAAAATAAATTGTTTAGATAATGTGATGCAAGATGCACTATTTCTGGGACTCAAAATCGTTTTTTTATTATTATATTCATACATCTCAATGTCGAGATGATCAATTAGAGGGTTTTTCAACATTAAAACAAGGTTTTCAAATGGATTTTCAAGGTGCATATGTAATTCTACATTTTAAAATAGCAACCTTATATAAACTTTTTCCATAATTAAAAAAAGGGAAGAGATAAGGCATTCTTAAGAAGATAAGACATTTAAATTTTCCTAAGATAAAATGCGTAACCCCTGGACACGCTATCTAGTTAGTTGAGTCTTCAACTAATCTTAATCCCACAGCGAAAAGGATTAACCCATCTTTCTCTCTACCCAAAACATATATAAGAACTGTACCTAACCTCTCAAATAACTCTTTCCAACCTCCTGCTTCCCAACATCTCTCTGCCATTTACCTTCTCAAGGTACGTTTTCTCTCTCTTGATTTAGGGAAGAGAGAACTTTTTTTTGAGTAGTTAAATGGTAGAATTTATCTGCTATCGTTTTAGGTTTTGGTACCCTAATCTCTGGTGTATCTTCTCAATACATCATCATTATCGTGGTTCTTACAACTAAGTAGTTGTTAATGCTAGAATTTATCTGCTATCTTTTGAGGGTTTGGTACCTTAATCTCGGTGTATCTTCTCAATATTATCGTGGTTCTTGCAACCATTAGTTGTTAATTGTAGAATTTTGTGCAGATGGATTCAAGTAAATGGAATTTTGAAGAGAATAAGGCTTTTGAGGGAGTTATAGCCACGTTTCCTGAGGATTTTGAGGAAGCTATGGCCATGTTTCCTGACGATTTACCTGATAGATGGAAAACAAAGACAGCTGAAATAATTGAGGGAAAAAATCAATCGGAGGTTTGTAATCACTTTCGTGCACCGTATGAAGACTTGCAAGCCATCTATACCGGCAAGGTCGAGCTCCCGGCATACAAGGACGATTTACATCTGCCAGAAAAGAAAGTTCGCGGTCGTAAGCCTGGTAGTAAAAACCGTCCGAAGCCGATCGTGCTCGAGCCCAAGATCGAGAGGAAGAAAATTAGACAATGGACCGAAAACGAGCACAGGTAAGCTCTCTCTCTCTCTCTCTCTTGATGTTTGTGTAGAGATCGGGTAAATATTTTTATAAAAGAAATATAAACAGTATAATTGTAAGGGAAGAGATGATTCATAAAGAGATAGAAATGGAGTTTTGTTAATCTAGGGAGAAAATCTTTTCATAATAAAATAAATGTGAACAGTAGTATTAGTGTATGAGAGAGAGGTTTTTCTATAAAGAGCAGGGAAGAGAATTCAAAGAACTTTTCAAGAGAGAGGAGTTGTAGATACGTAAATTGGGAGCCTCTCTCTCACCATGTATCGGCGCACAGGTGCATATTTGGTTAGCGTGGAGATATTTGCTTACTTGGTTGGCGTGGAGATATTTTGAGCTCTTCCGTGGTGTGTTGTGGTGTGGTGTGGTGTTAGATTAGATGTGGGAATATTTGTGATGGGAGGAGTATGGTTAGTGTGGAGATATTTTGATTTTTTTCATGCGGTTAGATGTGAGAATATTTGTGTTGAGAGGAATACGATAAAGTAAAAGAAACGACTTAAACATAGCGAAAAAAGCGAAAAACGGAACCAGTGAAAAGTGAGGAGGCGAAAAGGGATTTGGAGTTTTTGGAATAGGGAGAAACCTTATGGGATTTGAAGGTCTTAGAATAGAGAGAAACCGTATGGGATTTGGAGCTCTTAGAAGTAGGGGTTACAATTGACCCGATTCGGATACCAAACCCGGAAGTCGGACCCTATTTGGATCTAGGTATGGACCCCAAATTTGGATATGAAATCGAGATCCAGACCCAAAAGTCAGGTCCGAATTAAAATTTGGATTGGATCAGGGTGCAGGTGGATCCGATATGGATCCAACCCAGATCCATATCTGAATCCAACTAGATTTTTTTGAATAGGATACAATCAACTTGGGTTTTTGATTGTTTCTCTCTCTAGAAAATGGTCCACACCGTCAACCTGGTTTGATCCCTACAAGCCCATTTTCAAAGAGGATCTAATTCTAAAAAATAGAGGTAAAAATCATAGAGGGGGATCCCAAAGACCCAGCATGTCCTTTAATAGTGGATTCTTGCTTGGTAACCCAGAGATCAGATGGTGATGACAGAGATAAAGTGCACATTTTAGTGGGAATTATTGAATGCATTGGATCTTATGGTGATTATAGGAGGACCCAAAGAGTGTAATGCTTCAATCTAACGAGGATGATGAAGCTTTTGGCTCCCCTGTTGGAGGAGGTTGGAGAAATGGAGAAGCCATTATCAGAGGAGGCTATTGCCTTTTCTACAAGCTCAAGAAGGCGGATACAGTGAGATTTTTTGGTCTTAAAAATTCCAGAGCGGAGAGATAGAGAGAGAAAGAGCGAGTGTCATTAGAGAGAGAGTGTGTGCAAAAAGAGGGCGGGTAGAGAGAAAATAAAAAAGTAAGGCCCTTTAGATTTTTCCAGTAGTGTAGAGAGAGAAAGAGAGGGTGGGCAAAGAGGGGGGGAAGTGCATTATAGTCTTAATTGGGTTTTTACTGAGGTAAATACGAGAAATTATTGTTAGGTTTATAGTACATTAAAAGTATTAGAGGTAGGATATCTACAAAATTCATTTGGGGGTATCCATAATTTTTCCTTCAAGGCTGACCTGATTAGCTGCTTAGGGGTGGAATGAGTTAGTCAGGTCGAGTTCGGCTGAACCTAATCCAATAATAAAAGTTATATATTTAAATATGAAATTAAATATATATATCTATATATTATTTAAATATTATAACTAAAACTATATAATTATATTTATTAGAATATTAATTTAGGGCCAGTAGAGAGAGAGATATAGAGAGCAGGGAGAAAGAGAATAAAAAAGTAAAGGGGTGAGTGGAGTTAAATTCTAACTATGAACTCTAATATGTGAATGAATGGGGCACCGATATTTTGTGAAAACAAATTTTAGAATTTATACAAAAAAAGTGCTTGATTTTTATTGTAAACTTGTATAACCAACTAGATAGCCAAATTCTCTAGCTTGGTATTATGGAGAAGTTTATATAAAGGTGAGGCTCTAAACAATCAAATTAAGGCGCACTTCAAAAATTCACTAGAAGATGTTGTTTTGATATTGAAAAATCTTCATATCGATCATCTCGACATCAATATTTATGGACATGACAAAAAATGGATTTCAAATATTGGAAATAGTGTATCTCGTAATGCATTTTTTGGACCATCAATTTTCAAATGTTAATAGATATGCTCGATCTATACTACTATGGAAGCTTTAAATTTTATAATTATATATAAAAATAAATTTCCCGATCATCACACAGATTTCCGGCATTAAAAAATCTTCATAGTTTATTAATCAAATTGAGGATTTTGTTTTTTTCATGAAAATTCGGAAAATGCATTATTTAGAGGGGTTGATGAACTCTAATTTTTCCCTTTTCTTTGATAAATTGTAACATTGTTTTTTTCATGAAAATTCGGAACATGCATTATTCAGAGGGGTTGATGTACTCTAATTTTTCCATGCATTATTTAGAGGGGTTGATGAAATCTAATTTGTCCCTTTTGTTTGATGAATTGTAACATTATTTTTTTCGTGAAAATTCGGAACATGCATCATATAGAGGGTTGAAGAATGATGAACTCTTTCTTTGTCAAATTGTAACAGGCTTTTTCTTGCGGGACTAAAAAAGTACCCTGGAAGCGACTGGAGGAGCATAAGCAGGCACTGTGTCAAGACCCGGACACCGAGCCAAGTGGCAAGCCATGCTCAAAAGTACTATGAGCGCCAAAATTCCAGGAAAGAAAAGGTCAAGAGTAGGTATAGCATCCATGACATGGAGTTGTCTGAGAGTGAGCTCAATGAGCTCGAGCAATCTGGGGCCGTCCCGGGCGCAGCGGGCCGGTGCCCTGACCAAGTGGAGCAACCAAACTTGCCCCCCTCTACTACAATGCTGCCCAGCTTCGAATCACCCAAGTTCGAAGAGAATGCCGGACAGGTGCAATTGCCGGCACTCACCTCGACCGTCATATCGGCCATGGTGGAGCAATTAATA